CAGCCAAAAAAAAAAAAAAAAAAGAATCACTGAGCTGCAGTTAATAACACTTTTTGTTGTTACTGTATCTAGTTTTATGGTTATTTTTGATCTATGACAAATGACTTCTGGAAGTGACCCAGTGTTTCCTGTTTAAATACATCAGTGTGAGCAAAGGGAGTAGATCTTAAGAAACAAAAAGCACACAGTAGTTTGAGCATTTGGCAGAATGCATGATTGATACATGTTATCAGGCACAAGTCCCACAGCTAGAAAGTAACATTTTGGACCTGGGGAGTCTAGCTTCCAGTCTGTAACTGAACTGCTATATTAGGTTTCTATCGCCCTCTAGTGTTCCAGTTTATTTGCACCCAGAGGGAGGACTTCGTATTAATTCCCCTACCTTTCACCTTGTAGGTGGTTCAACACTCGGAGACTTTTTTTGGGAACCCACTTTCTGGCCTTCAGCACGTTTCCTGTACCTTCCCGTTTCCTGCCAGCCACAAATGTACACACAGCCACTCATAGCAGTATCGAACAAGACAAAGCTGGAGCAGAGCCTAGTGGGGTGTTGGAGACCTACCCCAGATTAACTTCAACTCAGAGCAGAGCTTGAATGTCACACTGAGACACTTGTCTCTTATCCCATAGGCAGTGGGGAGCCATGCATGGTTTTGGAGCAGACCAAAACTATGTGAAACAAGGCATTTCCCCAGAAAAGGGCACTACACTGGACATTTGCAATTTTCTCTCTCCTAGCATCATTCTCCTCTTTTTTTTTTTTTTTTTTTTGCCGTACACAGGCCTCTCACTATCGTGGCCTCTCCCATTGCAGAGCACAGGCTCCGGATGTGCAGGCTCAGCGGCCATGGCTCACAGGCCCAGCCGCTCCGTGGCACGTGGGATCCTCCCGGACCGGGGCACGAACCCGCGTTCCCTGCATCGGCAGGCAGACTCTCAACCACTGCGCCACCAGGGAAGCCCCCATTCTCCCTTTTTTATTTTCTGGCAACAGTCCCTGATCTGAGGGCTCCCTCCAGTATGAGCCTGTAAGTCACCTTTGTGTGAATTTTTAAATGGCAGCCCTTCTGGGAGGATGCCAACTCATGACAGGCACAAAGCTTAAGAGAGGACTTCGACCCCCACTTGCTCCCTCTTCCCCCCAATCAGACTTACAGTCAGAGTGAGGCTCCCCACCCTCCACAGAGGAAGCACATGCCCAAGTCTGGCCACTCAAAGGGCTGCATCCTTCTCGCTACTGGGATCGGTGGAGGCAGGTGCGAGAGGGCATGACCTAACACCAGCCAAGAGTGACTCTGGGAGCTTTCTTAAATTTTAATTGAGGTAAAATTCACATAACGTAAAACTAACCATGAACCATATTAAAGCGTATGATTCAGGGGCATCTAGAACCTTCCCAGTGTTGTGTAACCATCACTTCTATCTAGTTTTCCAAGACATATTCTTCACCCCAAAAGGAAACCCTATAACCATTAGCAGTCACTCCCCATTCCCTCCTCTCAGCCCCTAGCAACCACTAATCTGCTTTTGCCCTTATGGATTTGCCTGTTCCAGACATTTCATATAAGTGAAATCATAGAATATGTGCCCTTAGTGTCTGGATTTTCACTGAGTGTAATATTTTCAAGCTTCATCCATATTGTATCATGTGTCAGAGCGTCATTCCTTTTTAAGGAGGAATAATATTCCATTGAATGGATGAACCACTTTTGTTTATCCATCGATGGACATTTAGGTTGTTTCCACCTGTTGGTTCTTATCAATAGTGCTGCTATGAACATTTCTGTATGCATATTTGTTTGAATACCTGTTTTCAATTCTTTGGGATATATGTCTAGGAGTGGAAGTGATGGATCACATGGTGATTCTATGTTTAACTTGTTAAGGAACCAGTAAACTCTCTTCCACCACAGCGGTACCATTTCACATTCCTACCAGCAAATCACAAGGGTTCCAATTTCTCCATGTTTTCATCAGCACTTATATACTGCCTTTAAAAAATATTATGGCCAACTTAGTGGGTGTGAAGTGATATTTGTGGTTTTGATTTGCATTTCCCTAATGATTAATGATGTTGAGCATCTTTTCACGTGCTCTTGGAGCTTTAGTGTATACTTTTCTACTTGGAAGGCTTTAGAAGCCTAGTGCTGCTGGCAGCCACCTCCTACCCATGAGGCAGACCAGAGGGATGGAGGGAACCTGGCCCTGATGACATCATTTGAAGCCTAGATCCAGCCACACCTGCAGCAGGCTAACTTCAAAGGTATATATGCTGATTATCCTTTTGTCATTCCAGCCAGCTAGAGTTGAACATTTTGTCCTTTGCCACCCAGATGGAGACTGGGACTTGCCAAGGTCCCATGGTTAGTTAGAATTACACACTGGATGAGTACCTAGACCTCCTTCCTACTTGCCCGCTGCCACCATGCCCCAAGAGGAAGCTGTAAGGAGGGGTCAGCAGGGGCCAGGAGACAGAAGCTGGGGACAAATCATGGCCACGCATTTACGGATAGAGGCAAGAGGATTAGGAAGCAGACGCTTTTCTATCCGCCTGCCCCCAGAAGATTTTGAATTGAGATTCTTAACTATCAGAGTGTCAGATGCCCTTTAGAGAATATCATGGAAGCACAGCTGCTCTCCCCACCAGAAACACCAGGACACAACATTCTGCAGACAATTCACAAGTCTGTAGAAATTCCCACCGTCTCCACCCCCTCCTCCCACCACAATCCATCCTGAAGCCATAGGTGAAGAACTTCTGGTTTCTAGAACAAGAAAGACAGAAAGACCCGGAAGCAGGAGACCTGAGATCCAAATACAGTCTTTCTTCTGACTCACTGTGGAGCAAGGAATTTGGGGGAAGGACAGTCCTGGCTCAAGTCCAGGCTGTGGGGGCCTGGGCAAGTTGCTTGCCCTCTCTGAGCCACATCTATAAAATGAGACCATTCTCGTCTATCTGGGGGGCGGGGCGGGTTGAGGGTTATTAGGTTCAATGCTGTGTGTCATGGACATGTAAATATGAGGGGCCCCTGTCCTTCCAATGTCCCCGTCTCTCCAGCAGGCCAGACGGTCTCCTTTTGGAGTGATGCAGTCCAGGGACTTAGATAACATGCCCAGAAACCCATCCTCTGCAGAGAACGTCAAGTGGTTCATGGATACGAAATCCATCCCGGCCCCCCAGGTTAAGAACCTCTTACTCTGAACTCTCTCTCATTTACTAAGCTCCAACAACAGCTTCCTTTCTGCTGTTCCACTTCATTCCCACCCCAAAAGTTTCACACCTGCCATTCCCTCTGCCCAGAATGGTCTTGCCCAGTTCTTGGAATGGCTGGTTTCCTTGTTATTGAGGGCTCAGCTGGAAAGTGCACTCCCCACTGATCATCCATTTGAAATGGGTGCTCCCCACCCCATGGTCTTGAGAACATCACCATGCTTTATCTTTTTTGCAGCACCTGTCAGTGCCTTGGTTACGTGTCTTTTTATTTATCTAATTTTGTCTCCTCATTAGGGGAGGGACTTTGCATGTCTTTGTTGTCATATATCCCCAAGGACCAGTGTCAAACATATAGTAGGAACTCAGTATATATTTGTTGAAGAGATGACTGACTGAATGAATGAATGAATGAACAGGTGGGAAAATAGATGAATGGAGGGATGATTGAATGATTTGGATAGATAAATGAATATATAGATGGCTAAATATGGATGGATGGATGAAAATAATTAAACAAATGGTTAGACAGAAGGATAAATGAAAATCAATGGATGGCTAAATGTAGATGGATGGATGGATGGTTAACAGTTGGATACATGGATGGGTGGAAGGATAATGAGTAATGGATGATGGATGGAAGGATGAATAATAAATATATGGATGGATGAGTAGATGGATAAGTGGGTGAGTGGGTGGATGGATGGATGGTTCAATGAATGGATGATACATTAATGAATAGGCGGTAGATAAGAAAGATAGATAACAAATAAAAGGATGGACAAATGAAGGAATAAATTAGTGGATGAGTAAATTAAAGGATAGCTAGATGGGTAGTTCAATGGACAGTTCAAAAGATGGATGGATGGATAAATGGATGGATAAATTACAGAATGAGTAGATGGATGGATGTTTGCCAGACTCCATGCTAAGCACTTTATATGTTACCTTGTTTTATCTACACAGAAATCCCAGGAAGGAAGGAATGTTTTACAGACAAGGTCCTTGAACTTCAGAGGCAGGAAAAAATCACTTACTCCGGATAATACAAGTAGGAGATGGTGGAGCAGAATTCGAACTTAACATCTGCCTGACTCCAAGCCCTGGGCTCTTAACCACCACGGAAATCACCCTCCCCTTCTCCCCTCAGTTTGAGAGCCTGTACCAGCCACTGCAGCTCCCATACTGATGCCCGTGCCCCAACAGCACCCAAATCACCCAGTCCCGGCCTCCAAGTTGCTCTGCTGTCAACCCCACAAGTCCATGGGAGCCTGTGTGAGCCTGTGTGAGGATCTGTGAGGTCTCTGCATGCATGTGTGAGTGTAGAATGAGGTGACTGGAAAACATGTCCCTTCTCTGGGATGCCCCCCAAGTACCAGTGACATTGCACAGCCAAAGACAGGTCCAAAGAGTCTCATAGTGACCGCCACTCTTTATAAGGTGCCCGGGGACCAAGCCCCAGCCTGAGGTCATTCCCAGTGGCTGCCACAGAATCACAGCACCAGGTCATCCAGCCTGGTCACGTGACAACAGTGAACCCGGAAGAGGAAGTGAAAGAGAACAGGGGCAGGTTGTGGAGGTGACCTCTGCCAGGCAGCCGCCCAGGGTCATCAGACTACAGCACAGAGAGGTTGTGAAGTCCATCCCCTGCCTCAGGATGGGGCCACGGAGGACCAGGAGGATGGGGAAATGGAGCTGGAGGGCGGAACTGCAAGTGTCTCTCAGTCGCCCCATTCAGGTTTCTGTCCTCAAGATGCACGTGGCTGGGTAGTCAAGAAGCTGGCAGACCTCAGCAGCTCTTGTTGTCATCACTGATCTCCACGTAGGGCAGCCCCATGGGCCAAGTGTCCCGAGGCCAGTAGCAGACTTTGAGAGTTTTGTCCGGCATCTCATACGTGGCATCCACCATGGCCATGATGACAATGCCATAGGGGAAGGTGATGCTGATGAGTACATGCCTATGTGACAGGGTGATGAGGGGACAAGATGCCCCTGCAGCCAGCTTGATGCCCCCATCCCCACCTCTCCCTACCTCTCATGGATCCTGACCATCCCAAAGGACCTCCTGGACCTGATCTCCTGACTACACCGTCCCCCAACACACACATACATACATACACACACACATCCCAGTATCTGTGCCTCCCCACTCTGCCCCCAGGCTCCTGCTCCAAGCTCTGGCATCTGAGATTTTCTGCTCCTAAGGCCCAAGACCACAGGGCAAATGCTTACCAGATGCTGTGCAGGTAGGAGAAATTAATCCACTGCCAGAAACTGCAAAGCCAGCGGTCACTGATCCAGCTAGTAAACGCAAAAGCCCATAAAACCATGGTGACCTCAATTAGATGCCGAAGCTCCTTATTACTGGTCCTAGGGAGGGAAGGAGGGAGATCAGAGCCTGACTCAGCTAGCAGGGCCCAAAGGAGCTGATGGGAAACTCCTCCATCCAAGGAGATGAGGCTGGGAGGAGGGAAGGATCAAGGGGGCAAGTGGGGAGAGGGCCAGATCTGTGCTAACACTTGCTGAGCACTTACAAGATGCCGGGTCCTCACAACAATGCTATTATTCCCATTTTGTAGATGAGAAAACTGAGGCATGAGAGATTAAGTATGTCCCAGCCCCACCCCAAGGTTACACAGCTAGTAAGTGGGGTCTGATTCAGGTTTATCAGAATGCAGAACCCATAATCAACAAGGCATTCCGTGTTTGTGTTTTGGGGTGTAAGTGTGTGTGCCCCTGTGGGTCGGTGCATGAGAATTTATGTCTATGTGGCTATGAGAATATATGTCTGTGTGTGGGAGGGTGTATTCTCTGAGGCCATGTCTCAGGACAACTCAAGATTAGAATCTGTGTTTCCCAAACAGCAGAGCTAACCCATTGTCCCTTAGGAAACAGTTTATCAGGGATTAATGAGGCAGTAACTCCTTTATGGGTAAAAGCACAAGCCCTGCCCGCTAGCCTAAAATGGGACAGTTTGAACACCAAAAAAAAAAAAAAAAAAACATAAGAATTGGTGAAATCTAAGGAATTCCTCAGTGGTGCAGTGGTTAGGACTCTGTGCTTCCACTTCAGGGGGCACAGGTTCGATCCCTGGTCAGGGAACTAAGATTCTGCACGCTGGGCAGTGTGGCCAAAAAAAAAAAAAAACATTAAAATTAGTGAACTCTGAATAATGTCTGTGATCTAGTTAACAGTATCGTCCCATTGTCAATTTCCTCCTTTTTGAGGCTGGACTGTGGTTACATACGATGCTGCCATTGGGGGAGCAGGGGGGGAATCTGGGTAAAGGGTACACAGGACTCTGTACTATTTTTGCAACTTGCTCTGAGCCTGTAATTATTTCAAAATAAAAAGTTAAAAATATAGGATAGTGACTGCAATGGGTTGAAACACTTCAGCGATATAAACACCCATGAGTTCATAATAATACTTAAAGAAAAAACCACTTCATTGGTCCTTACTAGAGATGGCTAAGGCACCAACTCATTGCTCTAGAAATTGATTTTTAAAAGGGAAAAAATCAGTGCCCTATCCTGTCTTTCCTGTCCAAACTGTATTTCAAGGTTGATGAGCAAAAGTCCTTCTATCTGGATGGATGACCTCCAGATAATCAATGCAGAAGGAATAACAGAATCTGAAAATCACCCTTTTGCACCCTCTAATGAGATCACGGATGGAGACGGCATGAAACAGCTGCTGGAATCATTAGGGGAAAGGTCAGTAGAAAACTTTACAATGAAGGGTCTGGATGACAACATCTGAATCTACTGATCAATCTTAATGGCACTAAATGTGGGACAACCATTCATCATGGGGTCTTAATTGGCTGGAACAAGCAGCACCCAGTGCCACACATGAAATGAAAAAATTAAATGTAAATCTAGATCTATTAATTTTCAGGAAATACAAAAATAAAAAAGAAAGAAGGAAAAAAGAAGAAAGAAAAAGAAAGAAAGAAAAGAAAGAAGGAAAGAAAAAGAAAAAAAAGAAAAGAAAGGAGGAAACCACAGCAATCAGTCAGCCAAATCCATAATGCAGGATGTTGTACAGGACAAACGATCGATGGAGTTTCTGTTATCAAATCAGAGGCGTGAAGAAAGGGGGGAGGGGGGAGGGGGGAGGGAGGGACTGCTATGGAATAAAGAAGGTCTGAGAGACTGTGTTTGCCTTCTGAAGATGTCTTTGGGAAACTGGGGAAAGTTCAGTGCAAAATGGGTATTAGATGCTATTTTAAGGAAGGATCTTCTATTCGTCCCTCTAGATCCTTCCCTGCCTTTCTCCACTCTGCCCTGTGCCTCAGGGGGCAGCAGGGGCAGGGGAGCTAAGCTATGTGGACCTCGAAATAAATATTCCAACAGTATCCTCCATCCACCCTTTGGTTCCCTACTGGGGCTCCCCATTGGCCAACCCAACTGGAAACCATTGGCCAACCCAACTGGAAGCCCAAGGACAAGGGAGCCCCTGGATTTGGTCCACACAACCTCCCTGTGGGATTGGCTCGGGCTGGCTACAACCAACACCTGGAGGCCACAGCTCTTGCCAAGGAGACCCCCCTCTGCTAGCTCTCTCCTTCCAGATTCTTGCAATCACTCCCTCCCATCACTCCCCATCCCAGGTCTGCCGATGATCATAGAATCCCACCATTATTAACACAGAGCTTCTAAATGATCCCTAATGATTTTCCTACAGTCTGCCCTCTCCTTTGTAAAGAAACGTTTTATTCAACTCTCCCCAAATGGCTCCATTTGAGAGTCCCCTCTCTAGCCTGCTAAGACCTAGTATGGGTTAAAAATAATAATTCTTTATCAGCTGAGTGAAACCCTGAACGATGAATGGGTGACATTATGTGAAATCTGGGGGGAACATAGAACGCAGGTCGGCAAAATGCTAATGTTTGTTGGGGCTGGTTAGTGGGCACACAGAGGTTTGTGATACAATGCTCTCCACTTGTATGTGTGTTTGGGGGTTTTCAGAATAAAAGGGACAAACTCTGCAGTCAGAGACAGCCTTAGGTTCAAATCCCGGTCCTGCCCCTATTCGGTGAATGATCTTGGGGAAGGGACATGGCCTCTTTAACACAGTGAGGTGTTGTGTTTTTTTTGGCGGTGGGGGCGGTTCTTGGAAGGGAAAGGGGAGCCCCCTCCCCGGGCACCTGCAGCCACCACCCACTTTTTATATTCCTGGGCCACGATGTAGACGATGTGCAGGGCAATGCTGTTGAGGGCGTACGCGTTGATCATGGGCCTCAGGAAGGACAGGAAGGTACTGACCACGGTGGCGGTGATGACCAGGCAGATGTACTGGCGTCTGGGGAGAGAAGGGCTCAGCCGTGGGGGGTGGTTGGGGGGTGTTCCTGTGGGGTTTAGGCAGAGCAATAGGGCGCTCTTGTCGCAAGGATGGATGAGAAAAGGGAAGCTCAGAAAATGGTCTTAAGACTCCCAGGTGGGCTCAGTAAAAGGTCTCAGGGGTCCCAGGAGGATCACATGAAATTTCCCAGGGAACCCAGGTGGGCACAGGCAGGGTCCGAAGGGGGTCCCGGGGTAGGGGATGGGTAGGATGACAAGGCGGTCTCAGGGAAGCTCAAGGGGGCTTAGTCAGGTCAGAAGAGGGTTCCAGAGCCCAGGTGAGTTCAGGCAAGGGATTCAGGTGAGCCGGGTGGGATTAAGGAAGGAACTACAGGGGTCCCAGTGGCTATTAGGATAGGGGTCCTGGAAGGCTCAAGTGGGTCACACAGGGTCAGGAGAGAGATTCAGATGGGTCTTGAGGTCAAAAAAAGGGGCCCAGAAGGATCCAATGAAAGATTCCAGGGAACCCAGGTGACAGGCTCAGGGAAGAGGTCTCTGGGCCCCAGGTAAGCTTAGGCATGGGGTTCTGGGACCCCGTAATGGGTTCAGACAGGGTCTGGAGAAGGTCCCAGCTATCCAGGTGGGATCAGACGAAGAATTCCAAATAAGCAGTAGGATAAGGGGAGGACTTCCAGGGGTCGCAAGTGCACTCAGAAGAGGGGTCCCTGGAAGTCCAGTTAAATCAGGCAGGGTCAGGAAAAAGTCCTGGGGTGTTGAGGGGAAGGATTCCAAACACCCCAAGAGAGCCTGGACAGGGGACCCAGAGGATAGGTGGGCTCCAGCAAGATCGACAGAGGACCGGCCCTCGCCCCACCTGTTCTCCCCTAGGAAGGCAGGAAAGTAGCAGCGGGGCATCCATATGCTGTAGCCACTGGCCAGCAGCCACAGAATAGCGATCTCATCCAGCATCTGGCCCAGGAAGCTGAGTGTCATGTGAAAGTACATAGAGAACAGACCTGGAGCGAAAGACAAAGGCAGGTGGTCAAGGGACTTGTCCCTTCCCACCCCCACTACCCCACTGTCCCAGCCCCCCACCTACCTATGACCGTGAAGAGGGTGAAGGTGACGTAAATGTAGCGGGAACGTTTCTGGACATACGGGTGCATCAGAAACATCATGAGAGGCCCCAAGATGGAGAAGCTGACATTGCTGAACTGGAGGAGGAAGGGAGAAATATGGGGAGGGGGTTGTCAGAGGACGAGGAGGGGGGCTTCCCTTAGTCATTACCCAGTCGGTCACCTATCACCTTGCAGGCAGTTAATCAACCCAGGGTCTATCCATCTTTCAGCTGACCTTAACAGCCAACCAGTCATCAGTAGATCCATAACTCCATCCATTATTCTATGGGTTCATTCATTCATTCAATGCCTGTGGCAAAGTCTATCTACTAACTTTCCACATTTTCCTTTCAGCAATAGTGTTCCCCAAGTTTGAGCTGGGCGTCCAACGACTCAACGGAAGACTACATATCCCAGCCTTCCTTGCAGCTCACTGTGGCCTTGGGACCTGGTCTAGCCAATGGGATAGGAATGTAAATGAATCTATTGCTTCCAGGTCAGTCCTTAAGAAGCAGCTTAAGGCTTGCACTCTATGTCTTGTTGACTGAAATGCAAACTTGGTGGTCATGAGTTGGCCTTGGCCTTGTAGACAAGGAAAGACAATGCAATACCCTAGTGACTCGCTTCTAGAAACAGCAGGAAGCAGAAGTGATGGGGCATGACTTCTGAGGTTGGGTCAAAAAAAGTACTGTGGCTTCCACCTGATGGTCGCTATCTCAGAGCACAAGACATTGGAGCTCTAGCCACCATGCAAAAGATGGGGTACCCTTAAAGCTGCCATGCTGGAGAGACCATGTGGAGAGACCACAGAGAGATCGAGAGAGATGCTGGAGGAGCCCCAGCTATTCCAGTCTCCAGAAGTTTGACTCTTCCCAGCCCAGCTACCACACACAGAAGTGAATGAACCTTCAGTTGATTCCAGTCCCCTTCCCCCCTTCAAGTCACACCAACAGTTGCCAAGTGGAACACAGATGAGCTGTCCCTGCCAAACCCTATCCAGATTACTGATTCATGAGCAAAAATAAATAAATAAATAAGTGGTCATTGTTTCAAGCCACTAAACTTTAGGGTGATTTGTTATGCAACATTAGCTAGCTGAGACAAAGAAGAAATATTACTGTGGGCTGGGGTAGGAGAGGAGAAAGTTGCATGGAGGCCAGCTGGTACCACACAGCTATGCCTTGTCCAGAACCCCATGACTGCACAGCTATGTTGTCTGTGGATTAGTGATTTGCATCCTTATAATTAGACATTCACAATGTTCTGGGGCCCAGGCAAGGTTTATTATTCCCAGAATCTTTCCTCATCCTCAAAACAACCCTGCCAGGTAGGTTGTGCATCACCACACCATAGAAGAAGATACTGATTCTCAGAGTGGTCAAATGGCCCAGCCCAGGTCACCCAGCCAGTAACTGGAGAATCCAGGATTTGAAGTGAGATCCCACGTGAGTTTCTTGAGAGAAGAATCAGAGTGCTGTTTATCACAGAAGCAGAAATTGCTTCATAGACCTCAATTGATGTTTGATAATAACACATGATTCAAATAACTAACAATGACCACTAAGAATATGGCAGTTATGGCAGACAGTGGGAATTGAGCACTCAACAACCATCCTCCCTTCTTCCTCCTTAACCAAACTGATTTGGTTCAGTATTAGGAAGACATATCCTTCTTGGGAGGCAAAGGGGAATAACAATGGTCACAAGCTAATCTGATTCTCTCCTTCTATGTAACAAGGCCACCGAGCTAAAGACTACATTTCCCAGATTCCCTTGCAGCTCCACACAGCCGTGTGACTGAGTTCTGGCCAGTAAGACATGGGCACAAGACATAAGTACAGCTTCTAGGTTGTCTTCTTAAAGGGAAGGGGTGTGCCTTCCCCTTAATCCCTTTCTACTGGGATGCAGATGTGGTGGGATAGCTTCTGGAGCCACACAGATGACAGCAATGGCCTAGAGATGGGAAAACAGCCATACAGAAGGAGCCTGGATCTCTGGTACCCCAAAGCTCTCACACCAGCCCTGGGGAGCTTATGATTGGATGTTATGCAAGAGAGGAACAAATTTCTATCTTCATTAAACCATTATTATTTTGGGTCTCTGCTACAGCAGCTGGACTTATGTCTTAACTTATAGATACCCCCTTTCTTCCTTGTTAAATAAACCAGAATTTTGTTCAGGCATCAGGAAGACATGGCTTTTAGGGAGGCAGGATTTAGCCCCAGGGCATAGATCATCCATATTGCTAAGGACTGGTTAAGGAATGAATGTGTGATATAATTCTGGCCAATGAAACATGATGGAAGATCTGATGAGGGGCTTCCGGGAAAGTTCTCTTTACTGAAATCAGACTGAGTGAAAAGGCCTTTGGAGATTGTTGTGATGTTTCAGATGCGGCAGCCATTTTGCAACCATGAGGAAACAAGGTTGACAGCAAAAACAAATACTTGAGGACAGTGGTCTCAAACATTTGGTTTCAAGAACTTCTTATATTCTTAAATATTACTGAGGACCCTGAAGAGCTTTTGCTTGTGTGAGTTACATCTATCAAGATTTACCTTATTAGAAACTAAAACCCCAAAACTTTCAAGACACGTGACTACACAAGCCCACATTCGTTTGGCCATCAGATAGATGATGTCATCACACGTCATGCAGCCTCTGGGAGAGTCCATCGTACCCTCGTGAGAGAATCAGAGTGGGAAAAGGCAAATAATACCTTAATATTACTATGAAAATAATTTTGACCTTGAGGAAACCCTGAAAGGGTCTCAAGGACACCAAGCAGGGTGGTGCTTGGACAATATTTTGAGGACCACTTCTCCAGGGATAGCAGAGAAGAAAGATGGGAAGAACCAAGTAGCCTGATGATGTTGGGCTCTGAGTTAATCTATTCTGGAACCATCTACTCCAACTTCCATTTGAAAAAAAAAAAAAGATATTGTTCTTTCTATTTAAGCTGTTTTAGTCGGGTGTTTTATTTGAAACCAAAGCATTCCAATGAACGACCTTTGGGATCCAAGTGGTGTGGGATTGGATACATGTTCCCTTGCTCATTAATGTGGAGCCTTGAGAAGGTAACTTCAATCCCTTAACCTGCCATCTCTGCATTTCTGACATATGCATAACACCACCTGCCTCTTCATGCTGTTGACCCAAAGGTCCCCAAACCTCACTGGACTCATAAATACAATTAAGGTCACAAGAACATTTGCACCAGAATGTCAACGGCTCAAAGTCCCCAACTGCTGATGCAGGATTTTGATGCCCCTCGAAGTCTCCCCCAGATATGTTGGGGTCACAGTGAATATCTCACACGGGCTCAGAAACAGGTGTTCTCATGGCCTCAATCCACCTGCCAATTTGAGGTCAACCAGCTTGCTCACTCAATGACACCCTTCCCTCCCCCCAAAAATCTTCCCCTTGTAAAGGTCTCCTAAATTGTCTGCATTCCATCTTAGAAAGTGAAGAAAGAGCACCCTCTTAATTAGGATGCTCTGTTATTTTTTAGAACCCCAGTATTAACGATGCTGACTCAAAAATACAGGGCACAGTGGTGGGTGTGGGGAGAATCATTCACCTGATACAAGGTCAGCATCTACTAGCCTAGGTCCTGGGCACCTGTACAGGTTCCCAAGACAGGAGGCCTCCTGATTCCAGGAAAGTCCACAGCTCTCCTGGGGCAATGATGGAACCAGCTCAAAAGTCACAGTTTGAGAACCCAGCCTTGGCAAACTGGTTCCCTAGCCCATGGTCCCACCTATGTCCCTGTTTTCCATGCCAAGTTCTCTGGTGTTTGAAAATGGACAGAGTCAAACACATCTCCAGGAGGATCACCCAGTTCACGGTGGCTACCCCAGAACACAGAACACCCCCGACCTGCCCTGTCTGTATCATGAGACCCTACCCCACTGGAATAGACACCTATCCCAAAGCAGGATATCAGACTTTTCTTTGGGGAATTTGAAACTTGGAGCAGACACAAAGCCTGGGAGTCACCATAATTGGGTTGCACCATTGGCAACTCTCTAAAGAGGCCCTGGGATATTGTCATGATGTTTAAAATATGGCAACCACCTTGCCACCCACGAGAAGACAAGGGTGAGGGAAAATAAAGCAAAACTCGAGGGTAGTATTTGTCCTTCTGCTGAATCCTGCACACCTACCCTGGGTCCCAGCCTTCCCCAAACAACTCATCTTTCCATTTTCTAAGATATCCCACAATCTTTCCAATGCCTTCTTTCTCCCCCTCTGCCCCGCTTTGGTTTGTTTCTTTGTTTTGGTTTTTGCTTAAGCTACCATTCTATTGCCTGAATCCAACAAACCCATCAGCACTGGTAATATTAGCTAGGGTTCTTTGGTAGCAAGCAACAGAAAATGATTCTGGTGAACTTACACTATAAATATAAATGTGTGTGTGGTTACTTATTTAATTAACCAAATCATTCATTCGTTCGTTCGTTCATTCATTCATTCATTCATTTATTGTGGGGAGCTCATTAATCAAAGGAATTGCAGAGGACAAGGAAAACCAGAAACCAGAACAGCTTTGACCCTCTAATGGACAATCTCTTCAGGGGGCAATTTTGGGTATGAAGGAAAACAACTGTGTCCAGTCCTTCCGTCCAAGCCCAAGCTTCAAATTCTGAAGAGTGTAGCCTGGGCCACATCCCATCCTTGGCCAGAGGAGGGGGATCACCTTGATTGACCATCCCACCGAGACCATAACCAGGTGGCTGATGAAGGGAAAATGGGGCCATGGATACTGAACGGGCAAAACCCCAAACAAATCTGATGTTCCCTCTGTCTTCAACCAAACGGCAGCCCTTGGGCAGATCAGGCATGCCTGAAGATGCTGAGCCATCCAGCCTCCCAAACTGTTAAGCCTCCACTTGAAACACGTCCGTGACTCTCATCTATAAAATCCAGATTCTTAAGCTTGGCTTATAAACTCCCTCCATAACTCACCTTTCTCCACCTTCAACTTTATAATCTGGGTGGAAGGAATAACTCAGTTCTGAATGAGCCATACTTTAACCTCCAGGAGTTCACACATACTGTTCCCACTGCCTGGAACACTCTCATTCCCACTTACC